ACATTATTTATTATAACTGGCTTCTGCTTATTGTTGCAATGTGCAGCATGAGGCATTGTAAGCTTCGAAACATCATAAACATTATTTTTTATTAATAATACTCATTTGAACATATATGTTATTTAAAGATTACTTCACGTTATGTCTACATTTTTGAAATGTTTCATTATTGTAGTTATTATATCAGTAATTAATCGTCTGATATACTAGTAAAATTTTTTCTTATCGGTAAATTTTATATAATATTAAATTTTATATAATATTAAGTACAGATTGAAGTGAAAATCTTAATTGATATATAATAGTGTTAAAATTATATGTATGATCAGAGATGTATTTAATCTAATTCTTAAAGTGTATCAGGTGATTAATGCAATATGTAGCACATTTTTCTAAAAGTATATCAACCTTCCAACATAGGTCTCTGCGGAAATTGGATAGAAATCGCCTATGGCACGAAATCCGGAAGTGTCAGAGTTATCGTTCAGCATCCCGAAACAGTTGGCCACGGTCCGCAACTATTCCAAACTTTTACAGTGCATCAAAGCAGCGTAACCAAAGTATGTTCAGTATCAATAAAATTATATATTAATATTGTACATTAAATTATAATATTAACTTATGTGCAAAAATTATATTACAGGTAACACTCTCGGAAAAATACTTAGTGTCGGTTTGCTCGGAATATAATCACGTCAGAAGTTGGGCAGTGACCAGATTTCGCGGAATGATTTCGACTCAACCGGGATCGACACCAGAGGCAAGCTTCAAAATTGTTTCTTTGGAAGCAATTGATTCATGCGTTAGCTACAATGCCGGCAACGATTTCGGTATGATTAATATCGCAGCTCTTAAATTATCATTCTTTCTATATAATTTAAAATTATTTTTAAATAATACTTTTTATATAATGTATATTTTAACGTGTTTTTATTTTTATTAAATATCTTTTAAAATGTGAATTTGATCTTTTTGGTTTATTTAATATACGAATAAAATATTCATAGGACCATTCGGCGAACAAGATGACGAGCAAGTATTCGTACAAAAAGTCGTACCCGAAACTGATCAGTTATTCGTACGATTAGCGTCGAATGGGAAAAGAGTTTGCGTAATACAGTCAGTGGATGGCAGCATCATAAGCTCATTCTATGTGCACGAGTGTGAAGGTTCTAGTCGTATGGGCTCAAGGCCCAGACGTTTCATATTCACTGGTCATTCTAACGGCACCATTCAAATGTGGGATCTCACAACGGCATTGGATCCGTCTTTCAATCCCACTCGAGGTACGTTACTCTCTCCCGTTGTGTGACGTAATGGAATCAGCGAGCATGACTCACATACATGAAATAGTGTAGGAAATAGAGAATTAACATAAATTATATATTTAAGAAACGTTCTATGGAAAGCAAACAATATATTTATTTATTCCATGTTATTCTGTTTATTCTATATTTTTCCTTTATTTATTCTCTAATAATTTTTTTTATTATTCAGATTGTGTTTTAGAGAGAAAAAAATGGCCTCTATATAAATTATTACGATTATTTCTTTATGATAAATATTAATTTTATATTAATTTTCTACAAGATTTTTTGTAATTATTTTCGTCGATTGAATTAAAATGTATTATCAGATTTTTATTATCTTTCTGTGTCTTTTTTACAATAGATACCTCCGGTGGACCTACGCCAGAAGAACTTTGGAAGTTGTTGGATCAATGTGATCTAAGCAACAGCCACTGCTCAACGCCTTGTATTAGTCCGTCTCCTTCTTTACTCGCAGCTGGACCTAGAATTAAGTCAAGTAACGTATTGTTTCTCAATCAATCGCAAAATCCAGAACCAACGCCTGGACCAAGTCAAACGTAAGGATGTGCCTGATGATGCAAGGTATGTCGTGCCAAAGTGCATACAAACAGAATCTGCATTTATTTAATTATTTATTTATTATAAACCATCAAAAAGTCTGTAGCCATAGTTCCTAAATCGCCATCTTGCATTTTCAATGTGTAATGAGACCGAAGTTTGCTATCTGTCTACTCAAACAGTGCAATTTAAAAATAACGTAACGAAAGATATGACTGTATTTATAAATTCTGTAGCCATTATTGTTGAAATCATTTAATAGAGAATTTGCTCTTATGCGTAAATATATGTACTGTTTTATTAAATTATTTTTAAGAAAGCTTGATAACATCACTATCGCTTTTGAATTATACGCAAGAATATTGTTGTTGACATCATAACAAAATTTTTCTAAAATTTACTGTTTAAAAAATTCTGTAAATATCTAGAAATTCATAATTATACGTTTTTCTTGCTACTAATTGTTTGTTTTATTGCAAAATGGCTATTAAGAAAGATTGATTTTATGGTATTGATATTGTTCGATGTAAATTTTTATATGTTGGCTCGTTTAATAAGATAAGAGAAGGAAGAGATATTTGACAAAATTAAGAACTGATAGATAATATAAGTTAAACATTTTGTTTATATATTATGTATATATGTATATTCAGTTATATATTCTGTATCAATGTTATAAAATGAATCAAACACGAGATGTGTAGAATGCACGGAATCATGTTATTTGTCACATCATTTTAATTTCTCGAAACAAGATTACCAAATAGTTTCGAATTCTGATAGATTTACATTGTAAAATCTATCGGCTGACTATCGGTTGACTAACTTATGTCATCATTACATGTATATTAATTTCTATATAACGATCTTGCTTCGAGTGTAAAACACTTAACATTATTTCAACATTGTATCAACATTTTATATCCTGAATATTATTTAAGAAGTTGATTTTACCACTTATTTCTTGGTTAAAGAATAGTATACATTATGTATGCAATTAAAAAATTACACATATATTCGAAGATCGAATTGTACTCTCATTATATACATAAATACTTATAGCTTTACTGCATATATAATGTATACGTGTTCATCAATGTACATATACATATATAAAACTTATAGTAACATTATTGCGCAACCGCGTTACTTCTGTGATTTAAATAAACCATTGGTATGTGTATGGAGATATATACTGCTTATTGTTTGAATATTTATCACTGCCATGTATATATGGACATTTTATATACACTATACATAGAGACTGTTATAAAAGTAGACGAGACTTAGAAAGATCGTTTTAGAATTTTCTCAGTAGGTTACATTAACTCTATAATAATCTATATTATAATTTTTGTTTATAAAAATCTTTCTCTGTATCTAAAAATCGATAACATTTAACGAATTGTGGTTATGAAATAATATAATGTTGCGGCATATAAATATATGCAACAATTCGTAAATAATAATTAGAGCTGGATTCTTCGCATTTTGCGAACAAGTTCATCTAACAGTTGTAACATTCGTAATCACTACTATAAAAGTTTAACTCTCAGGCACTACGGTGATATACTTTGTAACAATGCCAAACTGCACGATTAGTTAAATTATAGCTATACGAATTATAGTTAAAATTAGTTTAGAGTAATGTTAATTTCTGCATTATTTTTCGACAGATAGGTATTGTACTCTTTGTTAAACATAAATATAAAATATTCCACAACAATGTGTGTGTAAACCGGAAGATCGGTGGAATAATTGCGGTAAATTCTGCATAAAAACATTTAACCCTAGTATTTGTTATATCCTAATATTTTGTTAGAGATCGGACGTGTCTCATATAAAGTGTTTAGTCCAGAATAAATTATTATTGAACAATGATGGATGAGTCATCGGCATCAACAAGTAACACCAAGCGATCAAACCGATCACAAACAGACACATCAATCCAGCTCTTTTCAGTGGATCTTTGTATGCTGCTATCTCAGAAAGATCAGGAAATCCCATGTGATTGCAGAATGAATGCGCAGCAAATGGTGCAACAAAATGTCCTAAGAAAAATACATGAAATCGAAAAATTTCTTTCACTAATAATTTTAGAACAAAAAAAGTTAAAATGATCCCACCTGTTCTCGCAAAAAGAAAGGCTGCATATGCTCCAAATAACGTTGTGTACGTAGACTGAAAACCTAAATTCAATGTAATTATTTCAATTCATTAGATGTTATAAGGTGCTTTCCATTTGATGACACAAGCATCATTCTTTCTTCAATGAGTGATGAACAAAGATAGAATATACTTGTAGAAGACACTTGTGTTACCAAATGAAAACATCCATAGATTCCAAGTATTCGCCTCAAAACTTACAAGATATAAACAATGCATGCTTGATACTCATTCCCATCTTTACTCTCTCCACTACATGATGGAAGTGAGCCACCCCGAAGAATAGAGGGCATACGAATATGGCAGTAGTCGGGGTGAAGCATTGCAGGAGTAACGGCAACATGCAAGCCCTAAAGGTCCATTCCTCGGATAACGGAGCGACTATCTGATTTCTCCACCAAGTTAAAGTTTGTACGCTCGCCAGCCAATACATGGGTTCTATGATAAATGTACAGCTATTAACTGTTATACGTTAATGTTAATTTCCACAAATACAGATTAATTTTAATTTCAGTTCTAATTTATACTTTAACTTTTTTTAATTTTTAGAATTAGAAAAGGAAGAATAAGTTGGAATCGAAATTAAATGGTTAAAATTAATTTAACCATATTTAATTTAAATATTAATGGACGTTAGACTCTCAAGTCGAGTTCGGATACCAACCGGTGTATAATCGCCACAGCCCATTGAATCCCTGTAAACTCAAGGGACCTAGGAACAGGATCATTGTTAGGAGCAACGATATCACAGTCGCCTGTATCAGACCCGTCCATCGAAGACCCAACATTTCCCAGATGGTTGTCTGTTAGGTACAATAAAAATAATTATTTATAGAGAATAGTCTAAATCGTGTGTAAACAGAAAATACCTTTTGAAGTATCTTATCATTTAGTCCAAAGTACAAGGATACCGGTGAAACAAGAGTCATGATAAATACACTAAAAAATCGTTTCTTTATAGTCGATGGATGCTCTCTGAAACATAAGTCATCCAGTGTAAAGTTTAACGTTAGAATATGATATCAAATATTTTTATAAATAAATATATAATTATATGAAATTTCTGAATTATATATTATATTATATATTATATTGCGGAAATTAAATATATTGCGAAATAGAATTATTAATTTTGCCAGTTGCTTCACAATTATTATAATTTGAAATTATATTTGCTTGTGCAGCTTGTTCATACTAGAATTACTTGAACATCTTTTTTTAAATCTATACTATGTATTATATATTTATATATTTAGTTGAAAAAATTAAAAACTGAAGAGAGAAAGTTTATCATCACATGTTGTGACAAACGTCACAAAAAATCTTAGAAAACAGATCGTTTTAAATTTGAATAATTTTTACAAAAAATTATAAAAATTATAAAGCATTTTGACTACTTTGATATATTACTTGACATATTACTGGAAATTGATAGGATTATTAATTACTTCCTAGTTGCTTTATAATTATTATAGTTATCGAATTATGTTTAATTACGCAAATAGCTTCTTTAGAAGAAGAATTGCTTTAAAAATTAAGATTGAAAAAGAAGTAAATTAACTTAATTATTGAAATGACAACATCATGGAAATATGTCATAAATTCGAGTAATTTTTCTACAAAATTATAAAGCGCTTTAATAAAGTACTTTTTTTATGTCACATTTGGATTCGAATATCGCGCCAAAGGGACGCCATTAATTGTGTACGATCTAGATGGCGCACTCGATGTCTCCTCCACCGCGTGACGTCCCCGGAATTCCGTTTGATGAGTTTCACCGTGCGGCGCTGGCTGCCGTTTGTCCAGAAATTGTCAGAAATTCCAGGAGCAGCGCCGCGACAAGGAGCTGCAGAGAGCGCCACGTGCGGACAACTGCGTGCGTCAGTCACAGCATCCATCCGGTCGGTGCGGGACGGTTCGCGTTCGCGAGCGGTTTACCGAACAGACAAGTGTGCTCGGACAAAACGGAGGCGCGAGCCTCCTCCACGCGAGGAGTCTCGCTGGATGGACTGGACGTTTATCGAAGGAAAGGAAGAAGCGCGGGGTGACATCGAGACTCAAGAGTGTGCGGTTATCACGCCGTCGTCGCTGTCGCTGCCGACGCCAGACGCGTTACCGCAACGTACCTGTTGTGCGGCGAACTCCAGACATAGAGACTCGCCACGTAGACGATCGAGAGCGCGAGGCATGCGAGGATCGCCGTGGCGCAGTTTGACGAATTATCGGTACTTGGTTCCGCGGTCTCCATAACTCCATAACCGATGTCGGTCGCCTGTGTCGCGCTCCACTGCAGAAGGGGGGCTCAGTAATAAGCCCCGTGGCGTTAGCGGAGGATCGCGGGGACAAGAGAGAGAAGGAAAGAGAAGAGAGATAGAGGCGCCGCAGCGGTAGAGGGTTGGTAGAAGTCGAGACTCGACGGTGTGGTGTGAGTCGAATGGGGGGTGGGGGGTGGATGACGGCACTGGCAGTACTGGCACGCACTCGCGGGGCAGAAACTTGTCCGATTGGCGGCTGCCCTCTAGGCCAGTCGGCGAGCAGAGACCAAGAAGATGGCCGCCGTGCACGGTGGTAATGTCGCTATTGTGTAGTGCATCCTAAGCTTTTGGCAGCTTTTCTGCCGTGGGCAGCGTCCGCCGAACACGGTACCGCGGCGGCTGCCCTACTGTCGGGGACGGGGGAAGGGTACCGCTAGATCTCATCTTCGCGACATATCCTCGTAATAGTCGGCAAGTGCGACGAATCGCGATCGACAGAAGCGGAACAGGAGAGGCAGACGGCGACGGAAGAGGAGCAGGAGGTGGAGGAGGAGGAGGACAACGACGACAACGAGGACGGACACGAGGACGACCGCCGAGGGCCGCCGACGACACGAAGATGCCGAGCGCGTCGTTTTCGTCGTCGCGCAGCTACGTGCGGAGGTCGCGTCGGAAAAACGGAAACAGGATCCCCTTGCCGAGAACGGGTAAGCCGAATGAGCGAGCGAGCGAGCAAGCGAGCGAACGAACGAACGAGCGAGCGAGCGAGCGCAACGGAGAAAGAGCGAGTGAACGAACGAGAACGAGTGAGTTGGAGTGAACGAAGAGGGACGAATCGAGGGAGCGAGCGAGAGCGAGGAGACGAGACAAAGACGGCTTTTCCGTGCCGTCGCCGTCGCCGTCCAGGATTTTTACGACCGCTCCGTCTCTTCGTCGCTTCGTCATCCCGTCGAGATTTCGTGTCGAGATCCTCCGGGGTGTTTGCGACATCGGTGACGATCCCCGAGACTCCACGCCTTTGTTCCCTGGGAACTACATATGCACGCGGGGGCAAACGCCGCATTTCCTGCTCGCCCTCGCTTCGATATCCGCCCATTTCTTCACGGCTTTTTTCTCCGGTCTCACTTCTATCTTCCCACAATTCTCCCCCGGTTTCTTTCCTTCCATCTTCCTGATAGTCTCGCTTGAAACAGCGGACTTTGGAAAGGTGCTAAAAGAGGTGACCTCAAATCTGTGTCCAGTGAAAAGGAAAAGAAAGATAGCTTTTGGGACTATAAATTTAGTGTTATAATCTGATGATATATAGAGAACAGTCTGTTCTAAATATTCACGAGCTGCTGCATGTATTTCATGTTTAGCTGCTTTGAATATATGCTCTATGCGTTTTGCAGCTGAGGTTAGGTAGCATAGAATGTGTGCAATGATAAAACTGTCAATCGGAGTACTCTCGCTCGCGGTTGCAACGACAAAGGAGCAACGTAGTTAACATCAGATGACAGTCGCGTGTTTAACTATCAAAACGTCAAACTCCGCAATGCTGTCAATCATATCTCGATCATTCGTGCTCCGGAATTTACGCCACCTTCCCCCTTTCCCCTTCCCTCCTTGTCTGTGAATCGCTTTTCGGATTTACGAGTAATTTCCGATTGGCAACTACTAACGGCCATATTGCTTTTCGGTATTTGTGAATAATTTCTGATTGGCGGCTGCGCGTCCACGGGAACGCGATACAGTTCGTGGACCGAGAGAAGGTTGCAACACTTTCTTTTTCTCTTCTTTTTCCTGCCGATGAATTGAACGCAGCGTCTCTCTTGCCGTCGCGCGCTGCTGTCCGGGTAAACAATGGTGAACGAACGACTAATCGAACCGCCGGATACTGTTCAGCGGGTTCAGCCTTGAATGAGAGCGTGAATCGGTGAATTGGTAAAATTGCAAATACCGTCAAATCGCAATTTCGAAACGAGGACGAGAGGAAGCGTCGTGTGCTCGCCAACGGGAAACGGTGGGTGATCATCGTTACAATAATATGTAGGGCCGAGTGTCTCTAAGCTATAATATAATAAGGGTTGAACGACCCCACGGTGAATCGAGGGTATGCGACCCTTAATGTAATACAATATCGTGATGAAATGAAGTCTCCCGTTGGAGAACATTTGCCTCGTGCAGAAACGGTACCATACGTCCTATAAGCCGATCCTATCGATTCGCGATCTCCACTTCGCGATCAATCCGCCGGAATGTTGGCTCTGTAGTCGCCCTCTCTCTCTCTCTCTCTCCCTCCCTCCCTCCCTCCCTCCCTCCCTTCTTTCTTCTCCCCTTCGTTCTTTTTCTCCTTTTTCCTTCTCTCTCTCTCTCTCTCTCTCTCTCTCTCTCTCTCTCTCTCTCTCTCTCGTTTCCGAATCGCCAGCGATCCAGCTGGAACGCGGCGCAGCTTGTGAGATGCACGTCGATCGGTGCCGAATTTTCCGGTCCAAGAGAGAAGGAGAGCGATCGAGGATGAAATGGAGAGAGGAAGAGAGTAGAAGCGGGAGAACAGACGGAGGCAGAATGGGAGGACGAGTGAGCGAATATTCTTGGGATCATTGAAGCTGTGACGTCCAAATATTCCGAGAGGTTCGGTTGTCGTTTAACATGATTATTGGCACGCACGATGATACTTGAGATTCTTATTGTTAGAAAGACACAAAACAATATATATTGAAAATTAATTGGCTTTTACGGACAAGAAAGTCACTGTAGTGACGTTGAAACAGTATCGTCTTTTGAAACAAGAAATATAATGAAATAATGAATTATAATAAAATTTGAGGAAAAACTGTAAGATTCTATAAACTTCTGTACTCTAAAGAACTCTACACTGAGAAAAATTTTTATTTGAAAGCGAACGAACCAGAAAATTCTAATTATATTACTCAAAATTTTGATTATCTCAATTAGAATTATAATAGATTCAATCATAAAGTTTTACTCACATTAATTAAAATTTTGATTATCTCAACTAAAATTATAATAGATTTAACCAGAAAGTTTTGTTCATTTTTAATCAAAATTCCAGTTATCAATCAGACTCTTTTTACAGTGTATTTAAGCTCTAAAAAAAGATGCTCTATTTAAGATGCTCAAAATATAATTAAATGTATAGTTTGATATTGCTGATACAGATATTAGGACATTTATATTTGCTAAAGTCACAGATAAAAATAAAAATGATGTCATCCGATATAATCTCGCACTGAGAAAAGTGTCTGATTGAATTAATCGGAATTCTCATTGCAAATTGGTGAATTTGCTGGTTAAATTTATCAGAATTTTCTGGTTAAATTTACTCAAATTCTAATTCTTTAAATAACTGGAATTCTGATTAATATTAGATATAATCAAACTCTTTTGATTCGTCCATTTTCAATTAGATATTTTTCTCAGCGTGGTTTAATAAGAGCTTGAGAATCTTCTACGATCGTTGGAATTACGTCAATGTCTGTATCGTCGAAAAACAAGACACTTTTAAAGGAGAGTTTTTTTGGAGAAGAAAAAGAGAGGGGGGAGGGGGAACTCGATGTCTGTTACGCGGTATCGATGCGTTTTGAGTGACGAATTACCAGTGCTCCACTTTCGTGAGAGGACTCGACGTGACCCGGAAATGTGATCGAGAGTATCCCCGGCCGGAGAATATCCCCCAGAAATCGGCATCTCGGTGGATCCCACACGAGCAGCGCCCTCCCGTATGCTGCGTGTATCCGCCGCATGTGCCAGCAATCAGCTAGAAAGTGAAACGTCAAGGCGCTGTTTACGGAACGGAACCGAATGAAGCCATGCATGATGACGATTCGATGTTCATTGAGTACGCGAAAACGATTTGAAAATGAATGGAGATAAATCGTAGTACCAGACCTTAATCATCAACTGAATTTCTATCAACTTGTACCTTGGCATAAATCTCTTGTGATAAGAGATCGGTTGATAGATGAAAGCCTATCGTGTGTGCTCACACATTTCGTAGTAATCGTAGATGTGTTATTGAAAAAGATACAATACGCGATGTATCAAGTTGTTTATTGCATAATGCGCACTCTTCGATTTTACGATATGTTCGACACATGCATAGCTGAAAGTTTGTGTTACATTTAATACATTTCATGTGTTCGATCCACTCAAATGCTCGCTCAAATGTTTATGTTAATTTAATAGAAGATGAATATATTAGAAAGTAACACAAATATTATATCTAAAAATAAAAAAGAAATAAAAAAGACAATGTTTGTGAGCAAACTGTAAAACTACAATATTTTTTGTAGTAAAATTAACATTTATGATATGTTAAATTAAGATATATTTTATGCATTTATCTTAAAATTTACATTTAAAATTACATCATTTACATCACTCATAAGTTGCATTACTCTGGAATATTGAATATGAAATTATATTACTAAAAAATGTTGAATATTAATTTCACTCAAATTATTTTAATAACATAATCACATTATTAAATTAATACGCGAATATATTAATAATTCAACACAAAATTTTAACTTGAGTGGATTGTTTTCAAAACAAATACAAAGTGTTTTTTACTGTGTGGTATAAGAATTATATCGTTATTATCATACGTATTTATGTCATAGTTCGACATTAAAAAATTGAACCAGCAACAATCAACCAGCAAACTTGTGTGGGCCATTTTCATTGTTCGTGATTTCATCATTGTACATTGTACAATTGGATTTGCATAATGTCAACAATTACATGGAAATACATGTAATCGCAACGTTTTTTATTAACAGATTCTCCATACGGACTTGCGACATTATACACTTGACAATTTATTTACAGTAGCATTTGTAAAACAAGGTCACTTTGTATCACTAATGTAAATTTCTCTAATGGTCCCTGACTTACTGTAAATTATATGGCAGATAGCAAATGTTTGCACATGCAGTTGCAAATGCTTTTTATTTATATTATATATGATATATAAATATGATAATTGTTATAATATATACAAGAATGTAATGTTATACAAGCTTATTTATATTGAGAGAGAGAGAGAGAGAGAGAGAGAGAGAGAGAGAGAGAGAGAGAGAGAGATTGCTTTCTATTCTGTTTAAATTCTAGAAATGTGCAAAAACAGACAAAAATAGAAACTTAAAACGATCTCTTTTTTTTTTTTTTTTCAGGAAATTTTGAAAGATTTTATACCTCCTTTGAGATTTTTGGAAAAAGTTCACTTCTATTTCTCTT